GAGGTGTCTGACGCATATAAGAATTTGGCATTTTTTTCTTTCAGCATCTATTTATTCATTTAATATTTTGAAATTTACAACTTCAGAAATAAAAAATATTTAGTGAAAGCCAGTCTGAAGAATAAGGTTCAGTAAATTTATAATAATTTATATATATTAGTCGTGGTGACTATAGTCATTACCAAAACTTGTCTCATATGCCAATAGAAACGATTTTCAGTAATTACTTTATTCAATTTAGACAATTGTAGTGTCAGTGTAATAATATGTTCTAGATATGCTACTACCGTTTTCGAGGATCTGTACCATGCTTTTCACCCTTTCACCTCATCCAATAAAATGACGTGGAAGTACACCAAAAACTAGTCAAATCTTCGTGAACCAATTAGAAATCAACAAAGTCAAATAAAAGGTAACGAAAAACGATTAGAAACAGAAAATTTCTTTCCAGATAAATGACAATTGAAAATTTATTAAAAACTTGTCAAAGCTATATGTTTACGGATCAGAAACTCACAAAGTCAGGATCACAAATCCATAAAGTTACACAATGCGAACTAAAAAACGTAATTAATGAATATTTACAGATTAACTAAATTATAGGAAAAAACTAAAAAGATATTTTAATTTAAGATTAAAATTCTATATCAACAAATACTTGGTGAGTCGGATAAGAATATCAGAAGACTGACCATAGAATGCAATTTGCTTTGGTAGAAGAAAAAGAACAAAAGGAATCTAACTATATAAAAATGTATTAATTATGCTAATAAAATCCCATAAAAAATTTTATATTTTAATAAGTGGAACAAAAGGTGAAAAATATGGGCAACTGTCATTTGACAGGATCGGGCATTTCATTGCTATCTAGGAAATATAAGAATAAGAATATCTAAATAAATCTAAGAATACCTAAGAATAAATATTTAAAAATCAATTTTTGAACAAAAAAGTTTAGTGTTTCATTAAACAGTAATAAATATTTAAGTTTTTCATTATTTTAAACTTAATTTATATAAAACACATTTACACTTCACTGTACACTTTCATTTCATTTAGTTTTCAATAATAAATTCAATAAATTCAATTACTGAACTTTAAATTAAACCAACATTTGTGTTAGGAATTTTCATAACCGAAATTGTAATTTTATTGATAATTTTGCAGTACAATTTGTCCATAATCCCATTAATTGAAACTTAATTTTAATTACTTTGGAGCATATGATAGGAATAATAATTAGGTTTGTGTAAAACCAAAATTGTTTACCGAAGCTTTTAAATTTTAATTTTTGTTAACCAATTTTCGGTTCAATATGAATATATTTAAAAAAAATATGTTAAATTTGTATAATACATAATTGAAAAAAGGAATTAAACCAAAACATTGAATTAGTTACAAAAATATTATTATAAACATTTAAATAATTATAAACGAATTATTTATTTTTATTTAAAATAAACTTTTTTATTAATAATATCGTAAATAAAATGCTCATTAAGAAAATTCAAAATTTAATAACCGAATTGTATGTGTAATTTATTAAAAAAAAATAGCAATAACTGCTTTCCAATATCTTTAGTGTTCTTGTAACGATAGATCCTGCTATTCAGGATACATTATATTGTCACAACCATAATTGAAAACATTTACTCTGGCTATCAAGCAGCTAAGAAGGCGTTACACTCATTGATTTTAAACTCAGATTACTATAGTATGAAATAGATTCGACACATATATAATCTAGAAGCAGGGAGTGACACAACAATATGGTACGAAAAAGTCAAAAAACCATTGACTCTTCAATTTTTTTAAAGAAAACTTAAACATAAAAAACACAAATTGGTAGTTCTTTAGCCATCTGTAAACCTATAATCAAAGAAATGTTTCTAAATGATATAGATAAATACTGGATTCGAGGAATAACTTGTCCACACACAAAACTTATTTGAACAAAGTGATACATAAAAATATCAGAAGAGGATTTATTCAATACGAAGTAAAGAAAACCCTATCACTGAAAAATGTTTAATAAGCCAACAAGGCTTAAAAATTAGTATTATTGTACATAAACTGGATGTGTAAGGAATCAATGGTATTATATTTAAAGACTTCTGTAGAAGCTACGGTGATGAAAAAATGGAAGAGGAAACTAATAAACATATGCTCTTTTATGTACTTTGATCTAATATTTATTATTCTTTTATTTTAAGATAATTATATTATTCTTATATCTTATCTTATTCTGTACTCTGATCTTATTATTATTATCCTTTTATCTTAAGATAATTATCGCATTCTTATCTCGTATCTTATTCTGCACTCTGTACTTTGAACATAATAATATAATAATTAAGTGGAAGACAGCTGTGGATTTCCTTATTAAAGCTAAAGCGGTTTGTTATGAAAAATGCCATCTAGTTGGAAGAATTAGTCATTAAACTTTGCTGAACTAGAGGTTCAGAAATATCTCTATAGTAATGGGCTCATATTTAATAGTAAGAAAAAAAATTTGATAAAAAGGAAAATGTGACAATAATCTTAATATTTGTATTCAATTTTAATAAAAAAAATGCAGCAATAATAATGTAGTAGGAATACTAATGTACTTTTTTTAATAAAAAAATGTTGTTTAGTATATAAACGTCATTACCACTGATGTTTTTAACATCCTTGAATGTTCCCGTAATAAAATTCAATTTGCGACAAACAAATTCAACTTCAATGTCAATGAAAATAGGAATCAAAACTATATATGTCCTAGCAAAACTATTACCGTAATTATAGATCGGTAATAGGGATAATATATTCTTCAAATAAAGAATTTACAATAAACGGTAGAATCGATAATAATTTGTTCTTACTCAAATACTCTTTAAGCAGTATAAGACTTTTCTCAAGTAATTAGTATTATTTTTTTATCAAATGTAGATGATATATATTTTAATTTATATCAAATAATCACATCAAATAAATATGGTATTTATTAATTTATTGACAAGTGTAGGTTTTTCTTTTCAAATTTTGTAATGTTGTTATATGTAAATAATTTAATGGAAAACTAAAGTGGTATTAGGACAACAAAACTAGAATATTGGGTTAAACATGATCGCAGGTTTTTTAATTTATCAGTACAATCATTTTGTTTTTAAGTAAATGAAAAGTTAGTGTGAAAGAATACTATAATTTAAGCGGTTTTAATGGCATGGAGTTCAATATTCATGTAGATTAGAAAGATCTATAGATACTAATTTGTAAATGCTATTCATTAATCGAAAATATCATAATACACATTTGATACCATCAAATGCTTGATAGTAAAAAAATGGAATACTAATCATCATATGGAAAATTTTTAATTAGTATAAATAACTGAAATGAAGACTGAATAGAGAAGTTATATACTTGTAATTTTATTCGTTATCTACAAGAAGACTGAATCTCTTTTTCTTTAAATTGTCCTAATTCTATAAAGTGCAGATGATGTAGTCATCTTGTTAAATATAAGTTTTTTTCTTTGATATGGTGAACAATTAAATGGTCTTCCGTACTTATAATTAACAGGAGCTGTCACTAGAGCTTCTAGGAAAAAAAAATATGTTATTAAAATTCAATCAGAGAGTAATGTATGTATGTAGATAATACACTGATTGAATGATTTAGATGATACAAAAAGTATCTGCTATTTTTTGTCACTTGAAGGTGTTGGTACCCATATATCTGCCAACACTAATCCGATTGTATCAAACAAACATGTGTTTGAAAATTGACATTTAGCGCTACGTTTTCTGTAACGTCAGTTGTGTAACAATTTTTATTGATTAAAAAATAAGTAAAATATTTAAAGAAAAACGCTATGTGAAGCTTTATTACTACAGAAAAGATAAAAAAATCTGCAAAAACATGCCGAAAAGTTTGTGCGGTTTAGGGCGAGGATGCTATGAGTAAACACCGGACTCGGAAGTGGTTTGCTCGATTCCGCTTCGGATATTTGGATGCCAAATATGCATTTCGTTTTGGTCGGCCAGTCACTTAAAAAGTGACTGCGGAGAAATATTCAAATCGCTGAACAAAATTTCCATCAGCATTGAAAAAAGGTAAAAGATCATAAATAACAATGGCCAGTATAAAGTTTATTCAAATTAGTTTACAATTAAAAAAAATGTTTGTTCAAATACGTACTGAAAACAGTGGATACTTTTTATAACACCTAGTACTTCATTATCAGATTTCAGTAAGTAAAGATTTACAATCTTTACTATTCAAAGGTAAGGCAAGACAAATTTTTAACTGATGAATAAAAAATATAGACTTCGTCTGCATTGAAGATATTTTTTATGCAATTTTTATGCAATATGATCAAGCAAACCTATATGAAAACTACTTTTAAAAGCATTTATAGAACAATTTTTTTTTTTTTTGTTGGGTCGAATGTGGAATGCTTTATGCACCGTCAAACTGACTGTCGCCGGAATGTTGTGTCCAAATCCTACTGCGTAGTATACAAAACAAAAACCTTCCCCGTCTTCTTCTGCGGCATTTCTTCACAATATAATGCCAATAGACATCATAGCTTTCAATGTACCATTAAGTTTTTTAACAAGAGGATTTAATTAGAGAAGCAAAAAGCAGTGACAGTGACGATTTTGCACTAAAAGTTTACTCTACTCTGGAACTTCGAAAAACCTACCACTCGATAGATGCGTGACATTATCTTCGTATACCTTGCGGGTTTCATTTAAGTGCCGTTTTCTCTAAATCTTTCTGGATGTTTTAAGCTGTGACCTACACACTTCAGTACTCTTTCGTACACATGATTGAATATAATAGTAAGAATGTTCAACAAACATTATTTTAATTATAATTGATTTATTTTAATTACAATTTATTTCATTTTAAATTGTTTCCCATTTTCAAAACTTTAATTATTATAATCATTTAATATTAATTACCAAAATAACAAAAAAATTTACAAAATTAAATGTGATAGTTTCACTCACCATTTATCATTTTTATCCTGTAATGTATCCTTGATATTTGAATACTTGTGTGCCTTATCTTTGTGAACTTAATCCGCTTGTCAAGTTAAATTTTTTGTTCTCTGTAGTATTGTTTATTTATATATTTATGTATTATTTCGTATTATTTGGATTTGTAGCTTTACTTACTGATAAATTGTTTTTATTCAATATTTATGCAGTGATGCGTACATCATCAGTATAACCAGCACGACGCCGCCAACTTACATAAAAATTGCACTATAAATCAAATAGTTAAGTTTCTTTTTTATAATATATATATTATAATATTTTGATTATTGATTCAAAGTAAATATATTTTTATTAATTTTTTATATTGTTTATTTATTTAATAATATGTAAATAACCGATTTATTAACATTTTATGTTTGCTTTGTTTAAAGCAACACTTCTCCTTAAGTGTTATCACTCTTAACAAATAATAAGCTTATTTAAGCAATTTAGATAAAATTTAAGGCAACAAAAGCAGCTTACTTACTGTATTGCACTGCTCTTTCATGTTTCTTTTTATCTGTTTAGTTTGCTTCTAGCTTAAGTATCTTTTAACATATTTACATATTTGTTTTAAAATTTCTATCTACATGCCACTTAACGCTTCCTTACTTCCTCACCTTACTATATTCGTGCATACTGAAATCCTTGAAGAAAGATAGAAAGTATTCAGTAATACAAACAGCACAGTAAGGCTACAATATTTTAAATACGTTTAATATCAGCACCAATACAGCTAAAGAAAATGAAACCCTTTTTTTTTATATGTATGTGTTTTATATTATATATACTGCTTTATGTAAAAACTTTCATTTTATATAAGACACAATTATAAATGAGTATATACTTATATAGAAGTATATCTACATAATTGCACGTTATGAAAAAGTTAGCCTTTAAAAAAATTGTTTTTCTTATTATTTTCTTTAAAACTTATTCATGTGATTTCCCCATTTTTAATTTGTCACAAATATTCGCCATCATAGCGTTTGTTTCAAGCCTGGCATGCAACGAAACGAAATGTCATACAAAATCATCAAGGTATTCTAATTAAATAGGACATCCTTTGGTGCATGCCTTAAATCGTTCTAGCTGCAATCTACACTGCTTGCTGCTGTCAAGTGCTGTATAGTGCTCGTTAATGCATTTCCTGTGTCACTAGCCCTAAACTATGCAATGTTTTTATGCATTTTTAACTTTATACCTCTTTTGTGTTGCTGCATAGTCAGTCTCATTTAATATGTTTAGTGACGTCATTTGAGTACCTTCTTTACTCTTTTTTTTAGTTATGTATTGTTTTGGTCCTTTTGTTCTATGAGCTCTTTTATAAATTTGCCTAGATTACATTTTAGTTGCTAATGTTTTACTTGTTTTTGTTGTGCTTTTTATGCAGCCTTGACTTAAGTCGAGCTAAGTTGGACACTGAAGTATCTTTTTGTTTATCAATTGTTTTCGTTTTTTGTTATTTTAAGTATTTTTTTCTATTTTACTTTTTCCTTGTTGCAATTTAATGTCGACTATTTTCTTAATTTGCATGCTAGATAATATTTTTTTCTAATTTCAGAACTGTACAGTATCTATTTTATTTAGGTTTTTTATAATTACAAGGATACGAATTAATAAAAAACTATATTAGACAACAAAAAATGTAAAACGTTGATTTAACTTTTTAGGAGTGTGCTAATTACAAAATGTGAAAAGTGCATTTAAAGCATTTAAAAATACAATATATGCTTTAAAAATTTATTTATTTAATATATATAGTACTTGTATATTGATGATTCTTATACAAACGGAACGGCTTTTCGCCTCAACACTTACGATTTCGATGAAATTTTTTATGAGCACACTTTTTTAAAAGAGAAAATAGATGCATTGCGGAAAAATATTTTAAGTTGTTTCTTTCTCAAAGTAACAACTATAAATAACATATTCTAAAAATTTTAATTTTAAATAAAATTTAATAATAAATTATTAAATAAAATAAAATATTATAAAAATATTACATTTTTGTGTAATATTTTAAAAATAGCATTTGAGCATATTTAAATCCGCCATTAAAAAAGTTTAAGTTTTAAAATAAAATTTTCCGAGGAACCTTAATCGAAAATAAGAGAAAATTATCGTTATATTATTTTAAAAATTTCTTTTTTCAAATTAACAGTTTACAATAGTAATCAAATATAAACAATTTTAAGTGTTTGAACCATTTCTAAAATATTTGATTATTTAATATTTAAGGTGTAATAAATTTAAAGTCTCCATTAACAACAAAATTGAGAATTGGTCATTTAAAAATCGGTTCAAAACAACAACTCTCAAAACCCCACTAATCTCTATATCGTACAGAGAAAAACCCAAGCATTTTTTCCCAATATACGGACATTTTTATTTTAGAAAATGAGCCTATCAACTAAATTTCATCGAAATTGAAGATGATGAAGACAATTATAAACTTTATTCCAGACTATAATTACAGTGTATTTTTATAATAAAAATTTTGGTATAATCATAATTAAACCCAAGTATAATAAAGATAGTATAATAATGAAATATATCATTATATATAGTGAAACATAAACTAAAAAAATTAAGAAACCTGCTTTATTCTATACCAGATGACATTTAAATTAGTTAATGACACATCTAATGGTTACGGAAAAATATCGGATAAATATCTAAATATAATAAAATGGAAATGGAAATTTATAGCGCATATCTATTTTCTTATATATCTTTCATTTTATGTGGGCACTTTGCCAGTACTTGAGTTTAATTAGGAAGATTTTTTTTTTGCCACGTATAGATTGGTTACATATTATCACTTATTATTAACACTAATTTTTGTAGCCATGTATGGACTGATTAGATATTATCACTTACTAAATTTATAGGAAATCCATTGCAATGAAAAAAGGGTTGCCAACACCGTGTGAATAAGGATCGGTTTATATGTATCACATCTTTCTTCAGCAATTTGTAGTTAGTTTGTATTTATTAAGAACTGAAGAAATTTTTCTATAGCAGCACATATTTTTCATACATTAAGTGGTTCAAAATTGTATAAAATTTATGTTAAAATAAATTCAAATTTAAATTCTATTACTATTACTACCATTCAGTACAAATATATATAGTAGAAGTACCAAAACTTGTTCGTAAAGTGTTTTATAAAGCATATAATACAAAAATCAACACACAATTACACATCTTAATTTAAATAAAAATTTAATATATAACGATAAAATCAATTATTAAAAATTAACATTTATTAAAGTATTTGTCAGTCAGATATTTATCGTTGTTTATTATTTACTACAATACTCCAAAGAATAATCAAAATAGTGGAACTGAGAAAGCTTCAAAAATGTTGAAATATAAGAATACTGTGCTCTCAGTCAGGAAAGCCAATACAACTATTTTTTAAAATACCAATAACATGTAATAATACTGGATAAATTGAGTGTCCTAATAACCGAAAAACCTTCTAATAATTTAAAAATAGATATTATTTGAGCTATAATCCATGGAATCACAACTGGTCATTATTTGAGCTCAAGTGGGTGTTGGTGTACAAGGCCACCACTTCTACCTAACCTAACTTAGTCCATATACCAACTCATACTTTCGTAGCTACTATGTCTGAAATTTAAATTATTTTCAATCTGAAATGGAATGAACTTTATAAACATGTTATAGAACTGGAATTGCGATTAAGGAAAGTATGTTGCGGAAGTATGTAAGGAGGAAACAAAAATATTCGTTTATTTTCGTTGGAAAATTTTTCGGTTATAGCTCGAACTTCTTTCAAAACAAATCAGGCTGCGATATGTGAATATTTGCTTATTAATCTGTGAGCTTATCTACAAATTTTTTTATTTTTCTTTTATTTATTAGTATAAAATATTTGTACAACTGAGATGATTAGCTCTATATTGTCTTAAATAGCTATAATGTCAAATTTAATGCATTTGACTTTAAACAACTTTTATTTCCTCTTGAAAAAAGAAGTAATATTTAAACTACTTCAAGAGATCCAATATCGTTACAATCAGAATGAAATGGACTCTAATAGACTACATAACTAAAGATTTCAAACATAGGTCATTCCAAACGATTTAACGCTTTTTTTCGACTCTGTGTTCTTTTTGAGGAACAGGATAGAAAGTTTTAAAAAGAGATAGTTTTGTTTATTGAATGAAATGAAGTAGAAAAAATTTATTTCAATTTAAAATGTTGACGTCAAGGTTTCATATTCAAAACATATATAACATATGATTCTGTTATATTAACTGAAAGAAAAAAGTTTGCAAAATCAACTCGTTTAAATGCATAAGAATTAATTTTGTTGTGCTAGAAAATTTATAGTTAGTTTCTTTACAGAATATAAGTTAATAATATGTAATATATATGATTCTTAAAAAATTTCATTACTTATGTGTACAGTTTGCTTCAACGGCTTTTAATTAATTTAAATACCTTTTCATTAAATAATACTCTACTCATTTTTAAATATTTACTTTGTTTATGACTTTTAATTAGCCATTTATTTCCTACAAGCAATAATGCAAGGATGTTCTTTGATAAGCTGATTAATTTCAAATGAGCCTATTGGAAATGTAATGCCATATACAGCAATTAATTTGTAGTAGAACATATTTACTTCTAATTTTATTAACTAAAGTATTTCACTAATTCAGATGTGGCGCTACGAGAACATCTAATATTTTAAGGTAGAAGGGTGTAAAGTATATTCGATATAAATTGGAATTACTTTTTAATCGAATAAATATAGAACTATTAATACTAATAAAATATTAAAACAAATATTTACTAAAGCAATTGTTTCGAAATTTAAAATGTTCTTAGTATCAAGTAGGCTCACAGGCTTATTGATATACACTTTACATAAATTAATAATCAGCTTATGAAATTTCAATTTTCAATAATCTCTTTGCAAGGGATACTTTAAAATTCCACACTAAAAACCTTAATGAATATTTTAGATACAAACAAATGACTATATGTTACTTCACTAGGTAAAATCGTTGATGATTCAAAATTTGGTTTTATTTTGGTTCATCCTTTTTAAATTTGTGTGATTGCAAAATGTAACAATGTACTTGTGTTGCTCAACTCAACTAAAATGTATAAGTAATAAACAGCCAAATAAGTGAAAACGGTAAAAAAAGAATATAAAA